TTGTAATATATATTCCGATAACAATTTTGTATGTTTTTCATTTAGGTACATTAATACATTTGAATATTTTGGTATATCCATTGGTACAAACATAAATGTACATTGATTCAATATAATGCATTTCGTTACGTACATTTTGGTACACATATTTGAGTATTGACTTTTAGGTACATTAATTCAATATATTATATTTTCGGTACATACATTTAAGTATGTACATTTTGGTACATACATTTCAATAATGACATTTAGGTACATGCATTTCGGTATTGACATTTAGGTACATATATTTCGGTATTGACATTTCGATACATACATTTTGGTATATACATTTTGGTATTGACATTTAGGTACATTAATTCAATATAATACATTTCGGTATATACATTTATGTTCATTGTAATATATTTCAGTACAATCATGTAGGTACAAATATTTCAGTACAAAGTCAATTTTATATATTTTGGCACAATCATTTCTATACACTTATGTATTTATATATTTTTTGTATCACAAATTTCTTTTAATATTTTCTCATTTACGTTCATTTATAATTACAAAACTAAATATGTGCATATTAATAAAATTAAAATTTAATGTGGAGAGATTAAATAAAAATACACATTAAATAACAAAAATTGAATGTAATTTTTGATAAAAGTACACTTCAAGGGATTATTAAATTAAATATTTAATTTAGCACTAAGTTTTTTTTAAAATTTTAATCTTTTGCACTGATTAATGTTCAAAAACCCCATATTTATTTTGTTAGGTTTGAAATTAAGGAAAAGAAGATATAACTTTATTCCAATAAACATGGCTCTTACCTAAATTTGTCACTTACTAGCTTGACACCATCTAAAAATAGAGTCTGCGAGATTCTCAATTTCTTCCATTTTTTTGGTAATCGGCTTCTTATTTCTTGCTTTCAGAAGCACTTTTTTCTAATTGAAAATTCCCTTGATTTTCTAAAGCAGATAATAAGGTCAAAAGCAACTTGTAGCTAGTCATGGAGTTTGCAAAAGCCGGTTTTTTTTTTTCGGAAACTAAGTCGCTTTTTTTTATCAGCACGTTCTATTTCATTTATGTTTCCTACTTGGGGTGTGCTATTCATATATATCACTTTACTTCTCACGCACTCCTTGATAATTTCTATTCATTAATTTTCTTCAATTCATCCGATATGACGGTCGAAAATTAAAAAGGTATGTGAAAAGTAAAATGGGGTGTGTGGATATCACACCCCTTCCTGCTTACTCTTAAAGGCACACATAAAAATTGAAAACTGAAAACGAGTGAGCGTTTGTGTTGTGTTGTCTGCGTGTTTGCACTTCACGCCCTTTAATTTACAATTATAATTCTTTTTTTTTAATGGTATGTATGTAGAATAATGTTTTTTTTGGAACTGTTATTAGCACTCCAAAAAACTCATTCTACACTCCTCACAAGTGTACTTTTCTTTCTAATTATATAAAGTTTGCAGTGTAAAATGAGATTTTTAGAGTGCCAATAACAATTTTTTTATTTTTTTTATTTTTTATAGTTTTCGTATAACTTTAGCTTAACAGTCACTTAACTTGAGCTTAATTGGAGCTTTAGTTCTTGAACTAAAAATTCATGAGTATTGGCCCTTGAACTTATAATAATGAAGAGTAATGTTCATTTTGGCTAACTCCGTTAGAACTTCCATCAATTTTTGGTCCCTGTAAACCCTTTACTTTGGATGGAAGTTCTAACGAAGTTAGAGAAAATGTTCATTGCTCCACAGTATAACAAGTTCAGGGACCTATACTACAAATTTTTAGTTCAGGGCCAAAGCTCCAATTAAGCTAAAGTTAAGGACCATTACTTCAATTATCTCCATGTGAACACTATTAAATTTATGTACTATCATTTAGTGTTTAAAATATTATTGGTTCGATATGTAAATTTGTAGAAATATTTATAGATATTAGATATTGATTGCTTTTCATGGAAATGGATGAAATTTGCTAAAGAATGTAGAAATTTAAATGAAACTTTAGGAAATGTCATATGGCAGTTTGTCATATTTATTTATTTGATATGTCGGAAATATCGACGAAATTTGTTGATTTTAGCCGAAATTTAAGAGTTTCTCCGATATGAGGTGAAATTTAGATTTCACCCCTCTTTCCACTCTGATTTTTCTAATATTTCCACAAAAATATCGAATGTATCGAAGAAATTTCAAACATTGATACCATTAAGCAAAAGAATTATACTTGTAAATTAACGTCTGAAATATCGATACATATCCAATTTTTAAAGAATCCCATGAGAAGCACTTGCAATGTTTTATACGAAAAATTGATGAGAGCAACTAACAATGCCTGAAAAACGTGTACCAGTTGAACTTTTGGGAAAGGATTTTCGCCGGATCCTTTTTCTAGGGATCTTAGGAATTTCTTGATCGTGACTGTTTATCGTACATCGTGCGGTCATAAATCATTTCAAAATTTAAAATTAAATATAAATAGTACTTAACGAAAACTGATCGCACGATGTACGATAAATGATCACGATCACGAGATCCATAGGAAAAGGATCCGTTCTGAACTTTTGTATTAGAGGGTGAGACGAATTTTGGCGCCACTAGCAGAAAAAAAAAACTAGTCAAGTATGATTGAAACATACTGAACTTTTGTATTAGAGGGTCAGACGAATTTTGGCGCCACTAGCAGAACTAGTCAAGTTGTAACCTATTGAACTTTTGTATTAGAAGGTGAGACGAATTTTGGCGCCACTAGCAGAAAAAAAAACTAGTCAAGTGTACCATGATTGAAACATATTGAACTTTTGTATTAGAGGGTGAGAAGAATTTTGTCGCCACTAGCAAAAAAAAACTAGTCAAGTTGTAACCTATTGAACTTTTGTATTAGAGGGTGAGATGAATTTTGGCGCCACTAGCAGAAAAAAAAAAACTAGTTAAGTGTACCATGATTGAAACATATTGAACTTTTGTATTAGAGGGTGAGAAGAATTTTGGCTGAACTTGCAGAGAAGAACTAGTCAAGTTGTAACCTATTGAACTTTTGTATTGGAGGGTGAGACGAATTTGGGCGCCACTAGCAGAACTAGTCAAGTTGTAACTATTGAACTTTTGTATTAGAGGGTGAGAAGAATTTTAGCGCCACTAGCAGAAAAAACTAGTCAAGTTGTACCATGATTGAAATCTATAGAATGGTCTGAACTTTTGTATTAGAGGGTGAGAAGAATTTTAGCGCCACTAGCAGAAAAAACTAGTCAAGTTGTACCATGATTGAAATCTATAGAATGGTCAATTATAGGATAGATTTTTTCAGTGTGTTGGAAGTACGGTTTGAGATATCAAGTGTTATAATACAAATGGTTGAATACTTAAAAAAAAAAAATTTCAACCACTTGTATTATGATGCTTGATTTATTGGACCGTGTATCCTGTACAGTGAAAAATTTCTCCAATTATGATTCATGCTTCTTCATTTAGAAGACGAATTCAACACCCAAGGAAATACGTTCGATTTTCATTTAGAAGTATTATGTAATTAAGTTTATGAGTATTGTTATTAGTTCTTTAAAATGTTCATTGTGCGCTCTTTTATGTGCAAACTCTCTCGTGCAAAAATTTAAGCGTAAAGGAGTTGATAATGAATTTTTTGGACTGCCGACAACAATTGTTTAGGTTCAACTCGTAAAATAGAAATTAAAATTTATTAAATTCATGAGTTTTTTTTTATACACCAATTTAAACTATACATTAATAGAACTCTCATTTTCAACCAAAATTTTATAAAATTACCATTCTAATCCTCTAATCAAAACTGAACATAAATAAAAACATGGGCAGTAATGTAATTTCATACAACTAAAATTTTGATTCTAAGATATCTTGTATAGGGCTCTAAACTACATATTAATATAACCCTCATTGTCAAACCAAACTTTCATAAAATTACCATTTTAACCCTCTAATCAAAACTGAACATAAATAAAAAGCATAGGCAGTAATGTAGTTTCGCATAGCCAAAATTTTGTTTTCCTTTTAAAGCCTCACATATTCTAAGATATCTCTAATTAAAAATATAAAAAAATAAACCTATCTTCCCCCTCTCCCCATTCCACGTTCTCTTTCACTTTCTTCCCCTCTCCTTCCAAAAATTATGTCGTTTTTTAAAGCTTCACTTAAATGTGATTCTAACATGTCTCAAATAAAAATTAAAAAAATAAACCTCTCTTCTTTTTCTCCCCACTTTCACGTTCTTTTCACTATCTTCTTCTCTCCTTCATTTTAAAAACAAAAATAAAAAATATTCACGCACACTTAATGTGTTGGCATATGCTAATATTCATTAACATATCCAACGAGAATCACTAACTAAACACAAATTTTGCTGTATTATTGTAAATAATTGTATATATAAGTGTGTTTAGTTTACATAGAAACATAATATATTTTTTAAAAATAATATAAAACAAAAAATAACATGAGAAATCCAATCCAAAGTGAGCAAAGGGAAAAGGCAAATAAAGTACCAGGTAGGGACCTGACTTCTTTGCCCTTCCAATTTCCATATATTTTCATCTCCTCTTATTTGTATTATCACAGTTAAATTATGTCAACATTTTATATTGCAATTACTTTTTATTTTATTATTTCTATAAAAAAATTAATATAAAATATTGACGTGACTTAACCATGATCGCACAAAATATGAGGGTATAAAAGTGTATGAGAACTGGAGACTAGAGAAGCAGGTCGACCAGGCAGCAGGCTCACACCGAAGAACAGCGCACACCATGTCTCTCGTAATCATGGCGACCTCCAAAAGTTTGTCTGCTCTCCCGTTACCTTTCTATTTTATATGGGATTAAGCCACGTTAATATTTTATATTATTTTTTATTGAAATAATAAGATAAAAAAAAAAAATATAAAATATTGATGTGACTTAACCGTGACCACACAAATTCTAAAAGTGAAAAGGCAGACAATCATTGTCCCCAAAAGTGGTGTCAAACAGTTGGCCACAGATCACAGATAGCATTAAAAATCAAAAGCCACATAAACCCCAAAACGCAGACGCTCCGAACGGAAAACGCTGCCGGAAACTCCCCAAGGTCACAGCTTCATCTTCAGGTACTTCCTCCTCTTCCTCCACCCCCTCGTTGAAATCTTATTTTCTTTTCGTCGGTTTCAATTATTTACTTTGCGCTGCTGGAAACGAATGGATTTAAATCCCCAAATTTGATTTGATGTGTTAATCGACTGAATTGGAATTCTAGGGTTCATCCATTTTTTTTTTGTTGATTTTACTTTTTTTTTTCTTTCTCGAGAAGAAAGATTGAAGCTTTATTGGAGATATGAATGAAGATTGATGTCTTGAATTGGGTTTTTAGGGTTAGCGTTTTTCGCATAATTGCATAGATTTATATAAATTTGGGAATTCCTCAAGAGTTATTTTGCAGGCTTAAACTTGTGACTTGAAAGTTGAAATCTTTGGTATTTGAATTTAAATTGTAATGGGATTTCAAGTTGTATGCAAACATTGATCAGAATTAAGTTATTGTGGTGTTTTGGTACCAATGATTTGTTAGGGTTTCTAATGCATCCATCCTTGTGAATTGGAGATTGCAGCATTTGGTGATAAATGCAGGATCCGAAGAAGCCGCTGGCCGATGAGTTTTCGACTCCTAAGCTGAAGAAAAAGAAACCCTCGACCCAGAAGGCCCTCCTCCACTCCCGGTAAAAGCAGGGCATAAAGGAACCAAAAGAAACATGAAGAATGAAGTTTCTCCGTCGTTCCAGCAGCAGCCAGAGAGGTTGAGCTCAGATTCGTTGCCGGAGTCCTCCCCATCTGGAAGTGGGTACCGTGCACTGAGGCTCAAGTATCTGCTGCTGGAAGAAGAGAGCTTTGCGTTGGGGAGAGATCTAAGAGAGGTTGAAGATGAGGTCAAGACCCTCGAGGACGAGAAGCATGCACTCTTGGACAAGCTTGTTGTGCTAGAAGGCCTTGTTGATCCTTCGGAATTGCAGCCGCAGGGGTTGCATTTATCGTAGCTTATCTCTCGATATCGTTACCGGTTTTTGTGGTTAAATTTGCACACTTGTAAATTGCTAGACGTGTGATCTCAAAGATTAGAGAATGGTCATTATGCCGAACTTATTAATGTTAAAACTTCTTTGGCACACTTTGATGATCGAAACGATGAATGAGGACTGTCGGCGGGTATTGTTTTGGAGCTAATGTTGCTAGTCAGAAATTTCATTTGTCAAATGCAGAAATTTACGTTCTGTGAATTCACACAACCGAAACATGAAAGCAAATGCTCTGTTGGATACAGAGAACTCCGGATGAAACTCGGTTGGATACAGAGAACGCCGGAGGAAGCGAAAAACAAATAAATTGCGGTATAACAGAATTTAAGCCACAATCCAGAGTAAATATTTCTTTGATAAACTTGGTTTAACACTTAAATCTCATTTCAACCACAAAAATTACAAATAATCTGATAATAATTCAAGCTGCGAGTGTAGATATTGTAGGTAACCTAGGATTTTAATCTTTATTCTGCATTGGCTTCTTAGTGTGTAAGGTTTCTATTATCTGTAAGGATAACAAAGGTTCTAATCTAATTTTCGGGGAGGGTTGTTACCTCAGCAGCCCTGAGTTTGAATGTGCAACTCGGACAACCAGGGGGCTGGTAACTCTTGATCGTCCACGTACCCATGAAAAGAACCCGAATGCATATCCCTTCGCTGGTGGAGCAGCCACCTTGAAGTTTACTGTGAACTTTATCTTCTGGCCAAACCTATTGAAGATTAATCGATTTGGGACGAATGGTAACATTGATTCCGATGGGTGGGGACACCGCTGCTCTATAGATACTCTTTGGCCTTCCCAACATTGGTCACTGTTCTAGTTACCGAGAAGTTGCGCACACGATATGGCACTGTGATAGATGGATAGTTCAGGTCAGATGCTGTTCGGAATGCCTGCTTACATGTACTATTGTCTCGTGTGATTTGGTGGACCGCCTTCTTGTCATAACCAACTGAACAAAGGAATTCTACGTAGTCTGCTGAATGTGCGTCGTAGACAAGACCTGGGTCAAGGACTCTTTTCGGGTTCACAAAGCCTGAGCCATAATCGAATGCGTTGCCCCTTCTTCCTTCCAGGTCCACTAGGATGGGTTTGGAGTTCTTATCCAGAAGTGTAGCTGTAAGTTCCATTCGTTGTCAGATTCTTCGATACAATCATAGGCACAAAGTTGATGACTGGAAAACTCTCTGTTTGAGCTTGCAAGTTTGTTGTTGTTTCAGCTAATGAAATATTACCTGTAGTCATGATTGCGGATCTAATGGCTGCTGGGGACCATGATGGATAAACGGCCTTAATCAAGGCGGCGATTCCTGTTACATGTGGGCAAGCCATGGAAGTACCAGAAAGAATGTTGAACAGCTTATTCCCTGCTGCTGGGGACCAAGATGCTAGTATATTTAGTCCAGGAGCTGTGACATCGGGCTACAAAGCAAAATAGTAGTTATAAGGTTTTCTATAACATAGAGAGAGAGCATGAAGATGTGGAACTAATTGATTACAAAGCCGGTACATTGTGATTTCTGACCATTAGTTATCATTTACCTTCAAAATCTCTGGTGTCAAAGAATTGGGGCCTTTTGAAGAAAATGCTGTAACACGAGGTGCAGGTTTCAGTCCAAGTATAGTTTTTGCAGGCAAAATTCGCGACTTGGGTTTTCTGTGCACATCGGTCGAAATCAATTAAACAGAAACTCAAAAACAGAAAGTTTGAATGTTTTAGTTTATAAGACTAACCGTGCACGTATAATGTAAGATAAAATTTGATGCCCTATCCTCTGTCCAACGATAGCAGAAGGGATAACAAATGGGACAGCAATATCCTTATCTGCATCATCAATGAGAACCATCCCAACACCACCAGCTTTTTCCACTAGCATACTTTTAGCGAGCTTTGACTCCGTTGAACTCTCAGCGTGTCGACAGACCAGAACCTTCCCTCTGGCCTTGGTTCTATTCAAGGAACTTTCTAAACAGTAACTGCAACACAAATTGCAGTAGAGAAAGTGTGACCTAAGTATTCCCTATGCATCATCATCTAAATAGAACTCACTTCCAAGTACCTTTTGATTCACCTGGATTGATACGGAGTAAAATACCCTGCATTGGCTTCAGAGGCAGAAATAATTCTTGCTGAGGCTTTCATTTCGAGGACACTGAGACTTTCACCCTAATCAAGCATTCAGAACTTATAAGGCTTGCGAAAATAATGCACAAATCTCTTGAAACATAAGAAGTCGATAGAATTACCGTGAAATTAGCACCATTTTCTAGTATGATATCAGAAGTGAAATCCCTATCTGTTGAACTTGCACCAACAGTGAGCATCCATGGGGCTAAATTTGTTGCAGAACCTGGGTTTCCTTCATTTCCAGAAGAAGCAACCACTAGAATTCCATGCCTAGCAGCATGAAATGATCCGATAGAAATGGCGTCACTGAAATAGTCTCCCTGAGGAGCATCAGGACCTAGAGACACAGACATGATGTCAACCCCGTCTCTGATAGCATCATCAAAGGCCGCTAGTAAGTCAACGTCATAACAACCAGAGTTCCAACATGTCTTGTATACTGCAATCCTAGCCATTGGTGCCCCTCCTCTTGCCCCTCCAGCCGCCAATCCCTTATAAGTCATGTTTAACACGTACCGACCAGCAGCTATAGAGGCTGTGTGACTGCCATGACCTGAGCTGTCCCTTGGTGATCTGAATGACACTGTAGTTGTTGACTCTTCCTCGGCTTCATAACCAGAATTATAGTATCGAGCGCCAATCACTTTCCTATGGAAAAAAGTTTTTAACCATTTGAGATTTACCAATCGTAAACATCCATTAATTAAACTAAACTGTCCATTCAAACCACAAAACAACCTGTTGCAAGTTAAAGCGGTGAATTTTTCTCCTGATTCACAACGCCCCTTCCATCTAGCTGGCACAGGAGGCATGTTGGCATCATCAAAACTTGGAGATTCAGGCCAAATTCCTGCTCGTGACAGTGAATAATAGTATTATTAAGGAAAATCTATATTTCCCTTTAAACAATTAGTCCATAAATAGCTTCAATCAGACCAAAAGCATTCATGTGTACAGAAAGCAAAAATTATGGGGCATTTTCATGCCACAGGAGTCACGTGAGAGGAGATAAGATGCCTTATAATATAAACAAAACAGGGGACTAAGTCAACAAATTGGCAATGAATCAATAATAGTTGACTGAACAATAATACTTAATAGAGATTGTTTTATAGATCCAGATGCACAAAAGAAAGAGTAAATTAGTAAAAATAATGGTAAGAAAAAAAAAAAAGTGATCAGAGCTCAGTGCTTACCAGTATCAATGAAACCAACAATGACATCAACTTGGTTCTTGGTGGAATACCCAATAATCTCCATGGTTTCTTCACCCAAAAGGCCCATGAAATCCCAGGAATGTGTGGTGTGCAACTTTCTTTTCGAATTGGGGAAAACCGAAACAACTCCCGGCATCTCTGTCAATTCAATTAGCCATGTTTTAAATCACAAACCCATGATTTTTTATTCTCACGTTATAAATTTATAGTTACTTGAAGTGGTTTTGGGGAACTTACTGGAAATTTGGAAAGCTTGGAGGTCAGTTAACTTGGCTGCAAAGCCTCTGAAGCCATGTCTGTAACTGTAAAGGTGAGATGCCCGAGCTTCCTCCATGCTGTTTCAACACCATTGATGCAAATCACCAACACAATCAGAGATGAGCAAGCGACCCCAGATCAGAAATACACACACACACATATATATTTGTGATCTTATTTAAATGAAAGAAAAAAGGAAGGGACTTTCTGAAAAACTGACCTTCCAGTATGCACAAAAGCAAGCATTTCATGGTTTTGTGTCAAAATTTCATCTGGGTCCTCACCATTTTTGCTTCCCATATAAACTACATACACCTAAAACACAAAAAAAAAATAAATAAATAAAAAATCTCACTGAAAACTATCAAAAAAGAAGAAAAACGTAAAATTTAAAAAAAAAACCCAGAATTTATTTTATACCTTGGATGAAAGGCAAATGCTAATTTCAGCAGCAAGAACACATAAGAACAGAAGAAGAACGCTGCTGATTCTCCCAGTACAACAAAAAGACTCCATTTTTCAAGTGCCCCACTCTTTTTCTCCTTTCCCAAAGAGATATAAATATGAAGAGGGAGCCAAACAGTTGGATAAGAGAAAGAACAAGAAGAAGAAGATGTTTTTTTTATGAGGAGGGAAAATTCTGGTCCTTTTTTTAACAGAGGGATTGATTGCTTTTGCAAAAATACCCAGTTACAAAGCAACCGCCGATGATGATGAAACGTGAAGGCAATATTGGTGACAGAGGTCAGAGTGTGAAGAGAGTGGGTGAGCGGTGGCAAAACTAGAGAGAGAGAGAGAGAGAGAGAGAGGAGATTGTGGTTTGGCTCCACAGTTTGCACCCAAAAACCAACCTTAAAAGGTGAAACCCTGAAACCCGGACCGTTAAAAAAGCGATCTTTGGTAATCAAAAGACGGCAAACATAGCAGTTGGGGGAGCACTCAAGCAACCCACTATATCATCATCACGATACACATTGTTTAGCATTTTAATGGAGGGCATACCGAAGAACCACACAATGGTAGTTAAGGAAAAACTGAAATGTTTACGTGAGACTTCTCGATTTCTAAAAGAGTTACCTATTGTGGTAAAGCAGCCAATTGGTCTTTTTTTTAAGTAAAAATAAAAATGGTCGGGATGTTATTTGTGGTGTGTCTTGATGAGACCATATCTTATTTGTAGACATGCTCAACTGCTTGAGTAAATGATTCATTTGTACAAATGTGATGTGCTACTCAATTAATCAGTAAAAATAGGCAGATATGAGCGCAGTTATATTGTCGAAACTGATGTATTCTTCATATGTAACTAAGTTTGAATTTTTCTTTCTAAAATTAGGTTAATTTAAGATAAAGTGTCTGATGAACTTGTATTCATATTTCACTTTAACCTTCAGCTTAGTTACACGACTATGTTAATTGACCCATGTGTTGCACTTTAGTTCCTCTGCCAAGTTTTTGTTCCTTTTTTACCATTTTATTGTACTCAAATTTACAACTTTACAAAATGTAACTTTATTGGAGGAGTAAAGTGAAACATGATTATTGCCTTAAGGATTACTGCCATAATTGACTTTGAATAGATCAACTATCGATCTAGCGTCTACAACAGCAAAATTCTCAGACCAAAAAGAAGGAATCCACAAAGCTATTTAGTGGTTGAGACGTCAGACTTGTATTTAGATTTATGGCATTGGTGAATTACATGACGGTGGTCTGGAAAAGCTGAAATATCTTTGTAAGTCTTACCGGCTATAAAAAATATGGACTATGATAATGAAGCCACAAACTGATCCTTTTTTTTTTAAAAGAAAAAAAAACAAAGGCAATTTCATCATCATTGTAACCAACTTCTTCATCGAATTCATGATTATATTATCTCTAAGATTTAACACCCGTGACCCTTGAATTACTATATAAAATTATACAGAAATCATGAATTATTCAACCCAATTGGCAACTAGAACATGCTTGGCCAATATTATTTATTTATATATAAGCAAGTTAATGGGGTTGTGTTCACGATGTAAACTTGTCATGGCAGTTCTCACCTTGTTAATTAAAAAGCATTGGTGGAATATGTAGATTAACGTGCATATGCTGCAATGTTGTGCTTCTGAAGCTTCTTTTCTGCTGAGAAAAAGGATTGGAATATATAAACTGCAGAATAAACTGAGCCAATTAGACACAGTACCTAAAAACAGGGGAATTATATAATTTATATCCCCAGATTATGAATTAATAATTTTTTTTATTTGAAAATTCTGGCAAAATGGTTGTGTTTGTCGTGTTCTTCGTTTTCATGTCATATTATCTTAACGGATCATGTTGTGTCAAACTCGTTATCTTAATGAGTTTTAACAGGCAACCCGGTAAAGACCCCACCCGTTAACCAGTTGACTCGGAATATATTATTTTTATGTTTTTTCGTGTCGGGATAACTACTCATGCAAGAAATTATCATCCCTAGTGTGTAGACCAGGCAAACAGGTTGTATTCGTATCGTTTTTGTGTCGTACTCATTATCTTAACGTGTGACCCGATAACAACTAGACTCGTCAACGAATGACCCGATAACGACTCAAATCGACAATGACCCGATAAGACTACTAAGTGTTGTTAGACCGAATAATTTGTTAACAGTCTTGTAATTATGTATGAAATTTCTTGCCTCATTAATTTATTTGTGATTTTTCCATTAGGAAAATCAGCAATTTGTAGAAGTAAATATTTTTTTACTGGTTGAAAATGTTGATCAATTGGACGGTGGAGTCGCAAGTAATAACAAAAACATTCATACTGTACCATGATAGCAACTATTCATTCCTCTGAGGGTCCAAGTATCACTTTCAGCTTCTTCAAATCTCATCTGCCAAGTAAACCAGTTAAGTACGGACCCAATGCCTGAGCTGCTGAGGGTGATTTGCACACAAAGAAATATCTACCTATTCATTTCTTACTAAACTCAACTAGGGCTGCAACTGATTCATAAAATGAACTTGCATGTAACGAGGTGTAAATATATTTGTCTCCATCTCTCTCATCTCTTCATAAAGTTATGTGAGAAGATAAATCGAGGGTTAGGACACGCAGCAGGCAAGGGTGGAGCCAGAATTTTTTTTGTGGGTGTTCTAACTAGAAAAATTACCCCAAAATCAAATGATATATATATTTTTTTGCTACATACATATGGTATGCAAAAATTTAAGTTTAAGTTCTGTATTTGAAGGCTTAAAATTTGCTTGGTATGAACTCAATTAAGTTTCGCATCAATTACAATCACACAGCTAGCACAAAGCAAAACAATGAAATTAGATGTAAAGGCAATATTAAAAAAAATTGATTGAAACTTATATGAAACCCGTTGAATCAAAACAGAATAATCTTGAACAAAATGGTATCACAATTTCCATGATAATATTTATATTTCTAGTTGTGCCAAATACTCGCTGGGTTAGTTTCATTAAAAAATAATTCTTCTTACATATTCTTTTGTCTATTTTATTAGACTACGCGGTAAAATACATATACATATTGCCATAAACTTTCCCTGGGCTACAGCCCACCGTAGCCTTTGGTGTGGCTACGCCATTGGCGGCAGGTAAGTTTCTATCATCAACCATGTTCACAAGTCTAGGCAATCAATCCAAATTGAAATGAATCAAAATCAAGTGTTAAAATTTGAAACCTTACCTAACTAATTGCTCATGCAAAGTTAATCTTGATGATTTGCAACGGAAAAAAAATCCCACCACAAGCATGCCAAATCGTGTAAAGCTAGCACTTTACTGTGAGTTTGGTAATGATAGTGATTAAGATCATGAGTAATTATGACTATGATGAATAACTTTTATATCATTATCAAATGATAACTTAACATATATGATTTCGTATCCACCATTATTGCTTATGATCTTTTCCAAGAAATTAAGACTTGGAAGGCATCGAATCTCAAAAGTTGGTAGACAAGGATAAGCTGATTGTCCATTCACTAATAAGGCAAGCAATTATGTTAAATCCTTTTGCGTGTTGCTTTGCTACCCTTTTTCCTTTTCTCTCATCTGAACAAACGATACGATGTTTACAAAGTTGGAGTAATTCATTCATGCGAGATTTTTATATATTTCTATGTCAGGTTGGGAGTCAACAGAGTGTTCTCACATATTAAGTGTGAAAAGAAAAAAAAGTGATATATCGCTACTTACACTAGAGTTTTTCTTGTTCATCAATAATAAACTAGCTGCATTTTTCTGGCATATTTTGGAGTGCGGAAATATGGATCATAGTGATATCATAGCTTGATTTATACTAACAATTTATTTTGATGAAGGGTGAATCATAGGATGGGAAATGGGATTCTCTCTGAATTCCTTCTATTCAGATCCTCCCACAACATATTTCTATTAAGAATTAACCTTACATTGATGAAAAGATGAACCTTGCATGTGCTTATAAGAGGTGGGCTACTCCCCATATTGCAAATTGGTTTTATGGTAGAACCTTAACTTTTTTCTGGTATCAGAGCACGTTGTCGTCCCACGTGTGAAGCCCAACGGTCACACATGCTCCATGTCACCCGAGTTGTGTTATTCAATTCTTCTTCTTCTTTCTTCTCTGCGACAACGACGCTGTCATGTTTTGTGTTGTAAACTGAAATATAGAAAGGAACGAAATTACCCGAAAAATGTAGAAGCTTTGAGTGGTGAATGATTATTGGGATGAGTCGCAGACTAAGTCGCTCTTTTTAAGATGTTTCGCGACTCTGCCCAAAGTGTGCAAGCAGTTCACAAACACCACGTTGTCCCAAGGATAAAACAGCCCAGAACCTTCTTCTGATAAGATTTTTCCTTGCACACCAGAAGACCTTCGAACTTACACCTTTCCGATATGTTGCTTTTTAAATCAATACATGTAAAACTTTTTTTTATTCATACACTTTTTGCCATTCACCTAACTAATATATATATATATATATATATATATATATATATATATATATATACAAAGAAATAGCCGTTGGAGGGTGTGAAACCATAAGAAATCAAGGGAGTTTATGGGGGTGTAAAACGGTCTGCAATCAAAGGAGTTATTAGTGGTGCAATGCTGTAGGAAATCAAAACAGACAAAAGATAAAAACCACAACGGGACAATCAAAACGTAATTCAAGTTCAAACCGAAAATAAAAACAAAACGATTTAATTGCATAAGTCAAAATCAATTGACTTTTAATATTGATAATAAAGCAAAACGTTATGTATATAATATTGGTAGTAAAACATAAATATATTTAATTAACTTCAACATTTTGAAACATCTGAGCCCCTCTCAACCCTCCCGTTGCCAACAACATAGCAGCTTTTTCTCATTCCGATGGCGTCATGGTCATTTGGTCATTTTCCTAGCCGTTCAACTTTTAATTGAACGAACGTGATTAAAGAATCTAAAGAGAATCATATTTCATGAATCATACAGATTTTGGTGTGAAATTCTATAATATCTATTTAGCTTTTGGGGGGAATAAACTTTATTGATTGAAAATTACAAGTAATCCAATTAAAATTAAAATAAATAAATAAATTGAAACATGACAGTGAGGAAGGCACGTGAACATGTACATAAAGCAAGTCCTTTTCGTAATCAAAGGTGAGCAGGAAAAATTGCTAATCCATCCGTACGTGTTGATAATACAGAGATATTTGGCATCTGATGCTGAAAAAAATAGGGAAATAAAAAATAAAAAATAAAAAAAAGGAAGGAATGAAAGAGAGAGAGAGAGCAGAGAATCAACTGGTACAAATAAAACAAAAACAGAACACCAGCAAGAAGGTAAGCTCCCCCCCCCCCCCCCCTCACCTCTCATATTTTCCTCTTAATTTTCTGTAATAATTTTGTTGCCTGTTAAATCATCACTAATGAAATTCCTATTGGGTTTTCAGTTCACTGCAATTTGCATCTGCTCAAAAATTCAGCTCAGCTTAATTGTAAACATAATCCATGAATTTTGATGCGCTAAAATTCACGTTTGATGCAGAAAAGTTCTTGTTTTCATAAGTTGCATGAACTTCTGTTCAGATTTCAGCACTTGGGAAGAAGCTTTCTTTAGTGCTGGACTAAAAGCTCTTATCTTTCCCCTTTTTAATTAAAAAAAAAAAGATTAAGAATTCTCATTTTCCTCTGTGCCTCTTGCACCAAGTTCGATCGCCTATTGTACATTAGAGTAGTTCAGAATATCCCATTGTCGAGAAGAAAGAACAATACAATTAATGTCTAGAAAACTATGAATTGGGTTATTTCTAATTTAGTGTTGGCCTGGCGATTCAATAGATAATTTGCTAATGAATGATTGAGATGTAGCTAAAAAGCTTCTCATTTGGTTCTAGATATTCTTCTAATTAATGACATTTTCATGAGAGTTATTTTGACAAAGCTAGAAAGCCATACACAGAGACCACAGAAAGTCCGCGATTTCGGGTAATGAGGTTATCTAATTTTGATTGAATTTGTGGAGCTTATCCACGGAAGAATGCATTAGTTTGAGTTTGTTTAAGTCATTGACAAACTTGTGCTACTCAACTTATGCAAATTACGTTGCCGCTATAAGTTATCGTGAATGCTGCACAAGAGGGTAGCAATCTTACTTTGTGGGAAAACACCTGTAAACTAGTGATGGAAAGCTGCTAACTTTTTTTTATGGCTCTTCACATTTTCAGTAACAGAAAGAGCAGAACAAGAAAGAGGAACAAACTATGGCTGCAACCGTGTTGTTTGCATGCCATTCCAATGTAATTGTAAGCCACTGCTGTAGAAATGATTATCCGTCGTTACCCAAATTGTTCTTGGGTGTTGGACACAGAATCGTGGATCAAACCATTGCCAACAGAAATCAAAACCCTCAAAGCCTTGAAAAAAAGAAGTCATCTTATAGGTTTTCCGTTTCTGCTGTCACCAAAGGTTCTGCAAAATCAAGCAAGTCCGATGAGAAAATCCCCCCATGGGCTAAACCGGATTCAGACGAACCCCCTCCTTGGGCCCAGAACGAAGGCAAGAAGGATGATTCACAAGAGGGATTTGAGATTCCATTTTTTGTTTATCTGCTCGCCTCAGCAATCACTGCAATCGCTGCAGTAAGCTCCCTCTTCCGGTCCTTTTGAAATCATGTATGCCACCCTTGATCTGTTGTATAACTGGAAAAGTAATATTGGACTGCAGATAGGTTCTGTTTTCGAGTATGTGAACGAGAAACCAGTCTTCGGAATCTTGAGTTCAGACAGCATATTTTATGCTCCAGTGCTTGGATTTTTTGCTTTTACTGGCATCCCCACTTCTGTAAGTTGTTCTATTTCTTTGATCTTTTTTATTTGGTTTGATTTGCACAATCAGTTTAACTACCGTGCTATGCCAAACCACCGAAAAATACACTCAAGGGGTCAATAATCTATGTTAAGGTCGTATGGATGATTGTGTTTGTGGATGATATGAACTCAATCTCCTTCTTGGCTCCGTAATGTGGATGTTGAATGCAGGCATTCCTGTGGTTCAAATCTGTTCAAACTGCTAACAAGGAAGCTGAGGAGCAAGACAAGAGGGATGGCTATCGATAGGGTAAAAAACAGCACATTCAATGCATTAACCACCATCCATACTTATCTCAACTGGCGTATTCCATTCTTTTTCTTAATCCTATGTTATGGTATTAGTTATTTAATTTTGTTTAGATAAGATATCAGTTAATTACAGTCCACATCAAAGCTCCAAAGTCACCCACAAAGGTAGATGATACCGATTATTCTCCAGTTGTTTTCTTGATTCTTTCCAGGAAAGTGGCATGATTGATGATCATATATGTTGATCTTGTCCCGTTGGTTGTCATGGTATAAACTATTAGATGTATCTGATGGTTACTGTGGTTTTAGTTATTCTAGACATAGGGGACACTAATGAAATAAACTATGCAGCTCACACATTGCCGTCCTAGACGTCTCATTCTGCTAAATCGAACTCTTTGAATAGATAATAGTTTCAAATGCAGGATTTAACCAATTGCATCTTGTTTCTCGGCTTTCAGCATCGAATATCTTGGTGAGCTCCATACGTTCAATCCAGATAAACCAGCATAAGAAGTATGGTATTTGCCGATGAAATTATCACTGTTGATCTCATAGGAACACAATTCTCCAGTGAAACATATCATCTGTTGTAGTTACCTGCAAACAAATGAATCTCATGTGTATAAATACCTCTGCACATACCTAGAATGAAAAGAACTATCGAAACTTTCGACGGAATGAAATTGTTTTGGTCATTACTTAAAAAGGAGGTGACCCCAAGCCAACAAGGCTCCCTGCTTTGCCGGGATGGGGGCGAACATCTATAGTACGCAACCTTACCCTTGCTTTGCAAAGATGCTGTTTTTACGACTCAAATCTGTGACCTTTTGATCACAACTCTCTTTGAATATTAGCAGAAAGCACGATGTGACAAGTACATAGGTTTAAACGTTGGGCTTCTGTGTCTTCTTCAACGGAACCACCTAGGTTTTTTTTTATTCGTTTTCGATCATCAAATGTGGGAGCATAGTGTTTGTCTTTGTCGTGTCTTTCGATTTATAACACCACGTGTTCCTCCGAGCTTGTGGAAAATTGAAGAAGCCACACTCCCCAGATCCGATTGCTGCAGTAAATTTTTTCCATCTCTTTCCCATGGATACTTCTCATCAAACACTTAAAACCCCAGTTGAACACAAGCTTCCTGTAACTGACGATGAGAATTACACGAAGACCGAGCAAGCGCAGAGAGCTCAGTGGCTCAGAGCTGCTCTTCTGTGAGAAAGCGACGGGTTGCTGTCAACCACGTCGCTGATGCTTGGTGTCGGGGCAGCTAAGGTAGATCGTTGGACGATGATCTTATCCAGCATAGCGGGAGCTGTTGCAGGAGCTTGTAGCATGGCTGTGGGGGAGCTTGTTTCAAAGTTTCAACACAAAGAGATATCGAAAAGACTTCTCTTTTAAGACAGAGCAGTTTAAAAACTGAGATAGGTAAGAAAGAGCGGAATGAAAAATTTAACATAACCATTTCAATTGAACTGACTCCTTCAAGGGTAATCCCATCTGGAAATTCACCATCCAAGCTGCCGGAGCAGCCGGAGAAAGCGAGGAAGATTACTGCCGTTGAGATCACACAATTTAGTGAAGGGGAGGAGTCATTGCCGAGTTCACACCAGGCAGCATCTGCATCAGCGTTGGCATTTCTGTGTGGCTCACTTGTGCCTTTACACTCAGCCGTGTTTATTCCTCAAAATGCTATAAGAATCGCGGTGGTTGTGGTGGTGGCTTCAATAGCTCTGGCTTTCTTTGGCGGCGTGGGTGGGAGCTCGTATGGGTGGATCCCCGGCCATGCCATCTGCATTTAGGGTTTTAGTTGGAGGGTGGATTGCCAAGGCAATCACTTACGGCTTGCTTCATGCCATTTGAAAAAGAAAGTCCCAACACAAAGAACTGATAGATTCTGTATCCAGAATTTACGACACAACATATATGGTTATGCATATATTTATTGTGCAAGTCGAGAAGATCTTTCGGCATCCCAGTCGTAGTTCAAATTTCTCTCGTGCAAGTCCGGGTTTTCATAGAATTCTCAAGGTTGAATTTAGACTTTTTGTCTTGTTAAATAACAAATTACAATGAATGATGAATGTAATCAAGTTTAGAGACGTGAGATTAAATTACAAAAAAGAATAAATAAATTTCTTAAACAATTCCAAGTGGATATTGTTTAGAGCGATGTAATCTAGGAAACAATGAACCTAATTACAAGAAATCAGACTAATTATAAGCTTAATTAGCTTAATATATTCATAATCTTGTCATGCGAGATGTAACAAGTTTGGAACCTTTGAAAAACTTACTCCAAGAAATTCGGGTAATGATTCCGATAAAATTGGACCGATACAGATAAAATTAGCATACCGTTTTGAAAAGAAACTCGGATACAACTAAGTAATGTCAAAGCTTGACCAAATGTTAGAGATGCAGCGCGGGGACGTGCTGGGGTCGCGGGTGGGCTGGCAGACGCTGGGTCACGACTTACTCCTCACGAGCTTAGGCTCGATTGGGCAAGCAATGAGCTGGGCCTAGGCCGCCTGCCTGTGGGCCAGTTCTATTGGGCTTCAGTGGGCCTGGGCCTACTATGAAGCTAAGCTTGCTGCTGCAGTGGGCTGGGCCTTTTTCCCAGAGTTTTGGGCCTTTGTAAGGGCAGTGATGCATGCATCTGGGCCGTGGCTGCTGGGTTGCAGAGACGGTGATGGCATGGCTCCACGGCGGTGAGGCTTATCCCACTGTTGCGTTGAGCCTTTAGGATTGTCGTCTCGGGGCTATGTTTTCGTCTACTCTTCGGTCCAAATCCTTGTACGTACGGGGTTTTGTTCGTCGTGATTTCTGAATTTCCTACCATTGTATCCTTTCTCTAGGGATTGATCAAGAAACTTTTCTAGGAAAAATTAATTGATACGACGTGTGAGAAATTCAGCGTAATAGAAAATTCAATAAATCAAATGCAAGAGGCTTATTCAAGTATTTGAATTAGCTCTCAATGAAAGCACCAATTGTCGATGCAATTTTTTGTCATCTCTGGCTTTGACGAAAATGCACCTGCAAAACAATGAGCACCTTTGATCAAGAACCTAAGCCTCCCACTCCACCGAGGTGGGGGGTTAAGCCAATGGATCTTCAATGCCTAAGTTAGTTTCTCTGATAAGAGTAATTAAAGTGTTTAGGGATTTTTAGGGTTGTAAAAACTTACCAAAATTTGGTAGAATAAGGGCTATATACAGGGGAGTGGCTGGCTATGGTGTTAGGGTTTTGCCATACACATGGTGGCATCCTATTTGCCAAAGTTTCATAGAAAAATATTCTTAAGATATTAAATAGAAAATAATATTTTGAGATAATGGAGTAATTATCCCTAATTGATTTAAATATGAATTACTTGAATAGAGTTAATCTTCAATTGGGAATGTATTAAAGATATGATTTGGGTAATTAATTCTTATCTTTAATACTATGACGTTTCCTTGTTAGGGGCAAGTGAGCTGTGGGCAGTCGCATTCAGCTGCAGGGTGTGAGCTGCGCGTGGGAGTATCTGATGAGCCTGATCATTTGATGAGTACAATCTTGTCTTTCTTGAACAAAAGTCCACGTATCATCTCTAAAATTTTTGGGATTATTTTTAGCTCCATAAAGAGGACCAAAAATTCAAACCCAAGATTGGAAAAATCACAAAGTACCTCGCCGCATCTAAATTAGAATAATAAATTCTTATGCAAACATTCAATTTGGTTTGATTAATGGTGATGGGCGGTGATGGTTTGGGGTAATGAGATTGGGGTTATGTGAGAGAGAGGGGGTAAGGTGGTGGGTCAATGTGGCATGTAAGGATGGGAATGGGGAGGGATTTCGTCTTTTCTTCTCTGTTTTTGTTGATAATAAAAAAATTAAACTGTCAAAGAAAGAAAAGATAAAAGAATGGAATAACCTTTTATCATTGTTTATGGATGAGATTATGGGAGAAATTTCGATTTAGACTATCATTGAAAGCAAACTTCACCACTAGGTAAAGATTAACAGTTTCACCACATGACTATGAAAAAAATTTAGCCTATAATTAATGATACACAAAAGAAAAGAGCGAACATAAAAAAGGAAAAATTGGCCTTTACGGAAGAGGAATAATTAGTCTCGTTGGAAAAATTGGCCTTTACGAAATAGGACTCATTAGTCTCATTGGGACCAGTTGTGAATGAGATTGGTCGAACATATGTTCGTCATGTTTAGTAGAAAGGCTAAATTGGAAAATTTGTCTTTGTGAACTATCGCATAATGGTTTAGTAATTGGAAATGAATTTCAGGTCTAATTTTTATATTGTATATCTTGAGTTCGATTATTGGCATTATTGAAATATAAGATGATGGTTAGGATGAGATTGAAATGTCTCTGTAAACTTTCTAGACCTCCAAAAAGATAAGACTATCATGGTGAATCACCAAGTGATCCCTTTAAAAAAATTATATTTGTGGTGTTGTAAAATGTCAATGTTAGTTATGTAGTTAATAAACTCCCAATAATACCCTTGTGATTAAAGATAAAAGTCCATTTCAGTCTAAATCCAACTTTTCATTCAAGCTCTCTGTAATTCGAACCGATATGCGTACGACTTAACACCATTGGTTTTGCCAACGTCTTTCTTCCTATATTGCTAACATTAACATTTCACGGACCGTACTTCAAAATTTAATATTGTATCAACTACCCGTTTGGAACAATAAATTCATTTTACTTGGATGGTAGTAGAGCAAACATTTATGAAATCAAAATCAATTTCGAGAAACCTTGTCGTTGGGGGAAGATGGTTACCGAATTTATTAGATAGGTGGACGAGTCTATGTTTTCTCTTACTTTCTTGGTTTTTTATAAGGAAAACTAATGAAAAGAGTTTGAAAACTTTGAGTTTTAACGATAAGGACAAAATAAAGAATAAAGTGAATAATGATAATTAACTTTTTAATGTAAAAATGTAGTTTTTCGATAAAGTAAACAGTAGGGTTTAGGTTGCAGAAGTTTTTCGTTAAAATTTTCAATTTTTATATACACCACCGATTGGAAGTGATGTAATTATGCGTATAACAGAGAAAGAACCATAAACAGAGGGAAGGCAGCTGCGACGCGACACCAATGCTACTCAACACTGACCACATCTTCTCCAACCCACCCAAGTTTCATTCTTTATTTACAAATTAATTTATTGGGTCGGATTAAATTGCTCCGAAGGACAAGAAGAAGTTGCAGAAGCAGAAATCGTGGAGATGAAGGAGGAAGAGTCTCAGAAAATTGCGGTTTTCAAAGGCAGGGAAATATTCGGGTCCAATGCTTTGCACTCGTTTGTGGCTCTGGGTATTTGGCTGGGTACAATCCATTTCAACGTGGCTCTGGTTCTTTTCACAATATTCTTCCTTCCATTTTCCAAGGCCCTTCTGTAAGTGTTCATCCTTCGTTACTTCACAAATCTTTTTTTTCTTTCTAGTTTGTTTTTTCGGTCTAAAGGCTTTCGATGAGGTCTCTAACTACAAATGTTCTTTTGAATTAAAAATTAAAATTTGTTGTTGCTTTTTTAAAAGACTCATAGAATACGAGCTTAGAATTCATTCCACACCATTGGGCCACCTGTGCTCGTTAAAATATGTTGTTTATACAAATGAGAATTCAAATAAAATCTATAATTTATGAGATATTAAATGATAAATTATATGCTTTAATATTAT